ACAAACTGCCCAGGGACAGCTTGGTAAGAAAATGAGACCCTTCAGCAGAAGTGGCACTGACCTCGCGAGGAACGGCATGTCCCAACCCTTGGTATCTTACTAAGGACAGCTGCCTATAGGCATAGGTAGCTGCTATCTAAAGGTGGGAAGCTCACTAAATCCCATGCCAGCAAAGAGATGATCTCCCTGAAGGAAAATGCTACTTCCCTTGGTGGGAACAGCTCCCAGATAAGAGCTTCTCCCACATGGAGAGGTAATTTACTGCGGCACCTTATGGCTCCTTGGGGCAAAGCTAGCCTGCACAGTGGCATCCTGCCAGTAAGTCATCTGCATAACACAAGAACACACACTTTTGCCATGCAAAAACTGAACAAATCCAAAGCAAGAGGTAGGATAATAGCCAGTGAAAAGGAAATAAATATGGTAATATGAGGATACCGCCACTCACCAGTGCCATGGAACAACCTTCTCATAACATCTATTCACAAACACTAACCCTGTCTTTTCAGGATCAAGGTGAGGCCAATTTAGATAAAGGCTTAATTTTATTACAAAAGTTAAATCCTTTACATGAAATAAAATGTTATTTAAGGTTGTATATACTTGCTGCTGATGCTCTGAATAAAGACAAGCCACTGAAAGGATGGAGATGTGTCACTGAGCACATGGGACAGGAGTTCACTGCACTTGAAGTGTTTTAGCACAGTGGTACCATAAAAGAGTGAAAAAGATTATATTCTTTACCTCATTTTATTCAGTCAGATCAATTTTATGCCTACTTCACCCCAAAACAACTGGAAGCTGAAAGACAGAAGCCAACTATGTCCTTCCAAGCTATGGAAAGAAGTGGGGTATGAGAAATGGCTGCAATCCTAAAGGACACGAGGACCAGGAATGACCATACTGTCTTCATTATATTACTGACTTGTTGGAAATATAATGCATGTTTAGATAAATATTATTCTCAATACGCGGCCAGTACATTCACTTAACTATTAAAAATATCTATAAAAATTCTATTTTGGGGCCTTTTTAATTGGAATTCAGTTCCCAACCAAATGCAGCTTGACCCACCATGTGTTTAAAAATTACTCATATGGTAAACAGGAAACTGCCATTTATCTTACACTAATATAAAAGTTCAAAATGAAGAAGGCTGAAAGGTATTGTGAGACATAAGATTGCTTAAATAAGGATGTACTGACAGACGCCCTTCACTGGTAAAGTGAAATACAGGATTTAGTGAAAAAGCTTGTAATTAGTAAAGAAAATCATCATATTTTGTTTCAAACTCAAATGAGAATCAGCCTTAAGAACATCTACCGGGAAAAGGAAATGCAAACAACGATTAAAATTGATTAAGTGTGTGCTTCTTGCGTACGTAGCTGGTGTGGCTTCATGTCAATCCCACTACCATGGGGAAACTAAACATTCAGGAGCAAGAATCACCAAAGACCAGGCAAAGGGAAGATTGTCCTAATAATTCACTTTCCTATTGACGAGCAAGATTAATTGGAAAGCACCTCCTCTCCCTGCCTTTGAAAATGGAACATTATTTCCTCACTTTTTCTGTGTTCTTATTGAGATTCAGAGGTTGTCAGGTCTCTGGTGGGAATTTAAGGACTCTGGACATTTTTTGACAGGTATGGGGCAGGTGTCCTCCCCATCTTCTCCCCAGCCTTCCAGTACCTAAAGGGGGCCTAAAAGAAATCTGGAGAGGGACTTTCTACAAGGGCCTGTAGTGAAAGGACATGAGGGAATGGCTTTAAACTGATAGAGGGGAGATTCAGATTAGAAATTAGTAAGAAATCCTTCCCTGTGAGGGTGGTGAGGCGCTGGCACAGGTTGCCAGCATGATGTTGCCAATATGATGTGTTGGTGCAGCATGGGCATGGCACTGAGATGCAGGAGGCCAGAAAGGACTTGTGCACAGCCTCACTGCCCTTTCTGGGTGCTCTTGTGCAGACAGCATTACCTCTGCTACCTGTTCCTACAGCATTATGTGCAATAGTCCTCACCTAAGACTTAGATGCCTGAGCAGTATTGTAACATGAGTAATAAATAACAAAACCAGCCAGGGATACCCACTAGTGACTTTGTGGCTGCCTCTGTCTTGGTACCTGCTACTTTGTGCAGACATTGGAAAAACACACTTATTATGCAACTTAAATGAAAACCTGCAATTTGTGCTGAAAGAACAGCTATAGAAACACACAACCTGAACATGCAGAGAGAGATGCTGCCCCAACACCCCCACCCATGTGTGGCACATTGCTAACCCCTAAGCCTGTCCTAGGGCAGGGTGCCAACCCGCACCTCCATCTCCAGGCCTGCTCCTCCACCCAGGCTGCAAAAGCCACGCGTGTGCCCCGGGCCCCCTCCTACAGCCGCTGTGCAGATGGCAGCGCTTCCAGCACTGTCAGCGTGAGGCCAGGTTGGTGGCAGGAACCGCGGCATGAAAAGCTTTAGATCTCAGTGTCAGAGCCTGCAGTCTGTCAGGGTGACTTTGCCTTAAAAGCCAGGACGGCAGTAAAGATGAAAAATGGTTTTGCCATTTTCTGTCTCCCCGGCTGCCCTCAAACTATTTATCCCCAGCAGGATGCGGAGCTCCTGCTTCCAGCACACTGCTCCAGTTCCTATCCCTGGGCACCCACTGGCCAAGGGCTGCCCGAAGCTGGGGAAGAATTACCCCCTGGGCACAGCTGAGCAGCAGCAGGGATTAAAGGAATCTCACAAAATCCCCTCCTGTAGCTCAGTCAGGGCAGGCTCTTCCCCATTTTAACACAGCCAGAAAATCTGGCAAACAGCAGCAGTTTTTCTCTGGAATGCCCAGGAATGCAGACTCTGCCCCAGGACCTGAAACAACGACAGAATATAGGTGACAAACACTGAATGGGAAGTGTTTGAGAAACTGAAACCAGGAGGGCTTTAACAGAAGTCAGTAGCTTTTCTGGGATTTGCAAATTAAAAAAACCCAAAGTAATATAATTTTTCAGAAGCCCAAATTACCTATAAATTAATAGGTAATTTATTTAAATAGGCTTTCTCAGACTTCCTGACCAAAACACTCCCTGCTGCTTTGTGAAATTTCGCCTCAAAAAGACTGCTGCTAACAGCTGACAGAAAAGTTGAATCCCAGTCTCTGATCTTAATAAAAGTCTTACACACCTTCTCCTAATGTTGTAAGTATAAAGCAACATGAAAACGACTAAAACCAAAGCACCAATTGTGGATTGAGTTCAGCACTTCACATCCCATTTGGTAGCAGTGTAAATCCACATCTGGTAAAGGAGAGTGGGTAAACCAGGGCTTTCATTTTAGACACAGCTGAGGGCTACCAGGGCATCCATAAATGGATTTCCCACCTCAGCATTCTCACCTCGTATCTTGCCTGAAGTACCAAACCCATTCCTGAAGATGGAAAATGGGCCAGTTTCAGCCTCTGTTACAAAATCAGCTCTCAGAGAGGCTTTGCTAAGGTTTCCCAACTCAGTTCACTGTGCTACAACAGCAACAAGCTGGGCTAACTGCAACCCCAGGGAGGGCTCTTGTAAGGGAAGGAAGTGGCTGGGACCGTCCTGGAAAACTGTCCATCCTGGAGGAACGGGTTGTGGGGAGGCAGAGGGAACATGACAATCTGTGACTGGCCATGTACCCCACATCCCGTTTGATAAGTAATGCCAAGAGAAGGAGGAGAGTTCAGAAAGTTGGGACTGGAATCAAAACCCAGTGGGTCAGAAGTCTACATGAAGGCGAGGGGAAAAATATGCTGCATGTTGGTATCTCAGGTCCTTCCTTGCCTTCCAGTGACACCATGACTGCAGTTGTCCTGCCAGCCTGCTTTACCCTCCAAACTCTGCTACAGGCAGAGCCACATACATGGGACTGGAATTCTGCCATTCAGAGGATTTACAAAAATATTTTACTTTGGTCCCCCACAAATTATATCGTTCTCCTCTTTTATCTGTCATGTCAGGAGAGCGTGATGTTAATGAGATGTACAAAGGCTTCTGGGTAGGCTGAACAGTTTTACAGTCCCACATTGATAAAGTAAAGCATTTGTCACCATTACCACATTAATGTTTATTCCTAAGATCAAAGTCTATATTTGCTGCATCACATAGTGCCACACATTACCATGCATTTCCTTCTGAGGGAATGAATTGTGATTCCATATTTTTACATTCACAGTTTAATAACACCCTGGTTCTCACACCTGCTGATTGCCATCACCACATGCAGTATGCAAGTAGTTTTTTGTTAGTATGTATTTTCTCCTCACTACCTGTGTGAAAAGCCTCAATATTTTGTTTGAGGACAATCACCACCTTCTAGCTCTGTAGGCTGCAGTAAAGAATACAGACAACTTCCTTCCTCCTAGAACCCTGATTCAGTCATGTTAATTTACATTTAGATAGCACCTTTCATCCCTGAAGACCCCAATGCACTCTGCAAACTCACCCTCTCTGTACACAGAAGCTGTACAAATATACACAGCCACATAAAGAGACACACCAATCCCACCACCGACTGCTGAAATGCATCTCTTTGCGTGTATTCCCAGCACGCTTGTGGCAAGTCAGCTCTGCACACTCTACACCATATTACCATCAAGCAGGAAAATTAGGCAGTGTGATTTAAAGCCATGCCATTTCCCTGTCAGGGAAGGGTGAGGAATCTAGGCAGGCAACAGAACAGCTTTACAGCCTGGGTGACTGACATCTCCTTGGCACTTTGCTGCACAGGTTAAAATGAGGTAAAGACTGATTTGTGGCAAGTTATACCTTACTTCTTTCACACTATCAGTGCCTGCAGAAGTCCAGGCTTGTTGTTCCCTTCTACTGATGGGTGACCTTCAACGGGTTTGTTTTATAAATTCAGAAAATACCCACTTGCTTTGCAATGAAAACATCAGGGGAAATAAACCTCCACCTCCCCAACAGCAGTAGTTGACTGGCTCCTGCCAATCTGAGGATGGAGAAGGAAGAAACCCAACATACCTGAGACACCTTTTTGACCACGTCACTGCCCACAAGAAAGCCCTGTGCGTAGGAGCGTGCTGCAATGAAGGCTCGGGTTGCCTTCACCTTCAGGTCCCTGGGAACTTCACCAAAAGGTTTGTGCTGCTCTGCATGTTTCACCATGCAGTCCAGGTACTCATCTGTGATATGGTACTGGGGATTCATCAGCTTGAAGAGTCGCTCCAGTAAGCGTGTCCAGAACTCATTGAGGGCCTCTTCCAAGTTGATGTTGGAGCCCCGGTAATAGCGGCGTAGCTCACTGTACAAGTCCTTGAAGACCTTCACGTTTTGAGTGTACAATTCTCCATACAGGCTTGGAAAAGCATCATAAAGGGCCTTTTCTGACTTGTTCAGCAAATCCTGGAAATAACCTGGAGAGAGAGTTAAAGGGAGACGGTGATGCATCAGTCGGACAAGCAGGAATCCAACAGGCTGTGCTGTTTGACAGCACAACCAAATCCCTGAGAAAAGAGAAAGGCCCTAACAGAGCTTTCCCTCCAATCAACCTTACCCACACTGCGAATCTTGAGCCTTAGCTAAGAAGATTGAAGGAGGAACCCACCAGTGCCAGAGAACCATGGTCTGGCCCTCTTGCCTCTTCTTGCAGCCTTACCTAGAACTAGAATTGAGGGTCTTTGAATGCCTAAGGTGCCACAGTGTTACTCACAGGTTTTCTTCACAGAATGCATCAACTGGCATATCTTACTTGAACCATAACTTGCCACAGTTGTCAGCCAGTGCCTTATGAGACACTGAACGCTGAATCAAGAAGCAGCTGCTTCTGGCACAGAAGTTGTCACTTGTTAAACATCACTAAAAAACATTGTAAACCCACAAGGATGCCTGGATGCTGCTCAGGCAATGGAGGTCTGCCCTGTAATGACTGCTAGAGTCAGACTAGTGTATCAAGATTAGCATCCTCACCAAAACGAAGTAAGATGAAGATTTAATCTAGAAGATAACCTGAAGTCTCCCATTCATACGTGAAAGGTTGGAATTCCTCCAGCATCACCTGCACTTACCATCACACAAAAGTGATGGCTCTTCTGAAGAAGACTGCAACTTGTTAAATTTTGAAACAGAACTTTCCCCTCCACTCTTCTCCAAATTTCTTTTGCTGTTCCTGGCTGAGGCACTGATAATTTGGGGAAGCCAGCAAGCCTCCAGTACAACATACGCATCTGAAGCACAAAGCACAGTGGTCTAAGACAAGGTCCCTGCAGGCGCAGTCCATGCAGCATGCTTAGTTCAAGAAGACATGCCTTTACTTCGACTAGCTGTTGTCCTCACTGACCCAAACCCACTGTGACCCACTGCACAACTTGAAATTGCCTTTAGAGACATCACTGCAACCTGTATGAGCTGCTTTTCTTTCCTGCCTCACAGCTTATTTTCTGACTTGCTTTTTCCAATGCCCTGGTGAGATGGATGGAACAGGGCTGCCACCAGTGACGGTGCCAGCCCTTCACAGAGATGCCTCCATCGGCCCTAGTCATTGCAGACGGCCTGGCTTGGAGGCACAGCCCATAAAGCCTGTGCCAGAGTCCCAGGTGCTGAGATGGGAACAGGAGTGTTTTATTACGTATTTAAAGACAGGGTTGTAATTCAAGTGTTTTTGAACTGTCACTGAACATGACATCGCCATGTTCAAGGTTCTCATCCCTATTTAGATTTGCATCCTGCTTTTGTTAAGGTATGAACGACTAAATGGTTTTCACCCTAGGTTCAGTGGTCATAGATGCGACAGAAATGCAACTGTCTTGCTACACACAGCAGGGTAAGGATGGCAGATTCAGCTCCGCCCTTATCAACATCTTTGGGTATTTCCATCCTCTTGACTGCCAGCTACCTTCAGGCTCTCTGAGACTGCACAGCAGGGAACTCATAGCAGGACCAGCCTGATTCAATTTATTGCTTTACATAAGCAGCTTGAATCACCATTTAAGTCAGTGAGAGGAAAAATGAGTTAAATAATCATTTTCATTTCAATTACATTTGTACTTTTTAGGGCCTTTTTGAAGCAAACCTGATTAAACTATTCTTTAAATCTAAACTACTATTATTTTTCTCTGGTGATGTACGATAAGCTCTAGTTGGAGGGAAACTGTTATTCAATTAAAATCAAACAGCATGTATCTAAGTATATAAATTAACTCCACTATGCTAAAAAAGAAAGCTTCTGAAAAATGCATATTGCATGTCCAAAGCTTTATAAAACAAAGTTTTTTTTAAGGGAACAGCACTGACTACAGTTAAAGACCTCTAAAATACTAGAACTAGTAAAGCTCAATTTCCATGGGTCACGTTTATATTCATGGACTGCAAGGGCCATACAAGCTTTCCTGCATTTCCAATCTCTTGTTGACTTCTCAGATTCAAATGAAGCTTAAACCTAGACTCAGACTGAGCAACTGAAAACACCCTCTGCACATCTGCGCCACAGGCTGCTAGTACTGCAACTTCTTGTAGTATTCTAACAAACTGATACTGAGCATTGATAGCCTGGCCTCCTCCAGCCACAATCAAGTATTGCTTGATAGTATGAGATTTGATTTAAGTGCTTTTAAAAGATTGTGAGCAAACCAGGTCTTAGCAGACGTTTGGTTTAATCACTTCTGCAGAAAATAAAAGTAGGTTATCCAAAATGTTGAATAAAAACTGTGATTTCAAAGTGTACTTTTGGAAGAAAGTTACTCTTCAACCTGACCTGGTTGGCAGTTTAGATCTCCAAACATTTCTGTCCAAACATCTCCAAACTCTGCCTCTCAAATGACACTTTTTCCAGTGTGACTAATTTGAGGTGGCTTCATTTTCTGTTGCCTCAGCCTTCCTACAGCATTCACCTACAACAGACAGAACATACAAAGATTCTCTGCTGCTGCTGAGATACGCAAAAGCTGCTCTGTATCTTAATGCATCACTCCAAGTGCTGCTGGTTACCCATTCACAATTTAATTAAACTGAGCTCAAACTCCCTTTCTTGTATAATCAGTGTTCTTTTCTCTGTGACAAGCAATGCTAACTGAAAAATTGCTCAGCAATCCAGGTACGACACGCAGCTTGGCATTCACCAACAGGAAGAGGAAAACACCAACAAACACAGCCCTATTTGTCAATCCAAGGTAAAATGACTTTCTTTGTACTGCTACAGGAGAAACAAGATGTTTATCTTCCCATCAGAAAATTGGAAGCTGCTCTTGAAAAAGCCCAGGCTAATTAAGAGTTGATGAACTGTTACTTCTCACCTAAATGAGAGAACACCAATTACAGTCAACCCGTCTGTGGCTGGTTGTAAGAAAATTCTTCTAGATTTCACGTACAGAGGGGAAAAAAATAATCTACATTATCTGGGGAAAATTAATTAGCAATTAAGTCTAAACGTGTTTGTGATGAACGGCTGACCTGGCAGGGAGTTTAAATGCCCATTTCGCAGCATTAGAAGGCACTAAGAAGTGGGGTTTGTCAAGAGGAATGCACAGAAGCTTGTGCTAACTGTCCTGGTTCTACCCACAATCTCAGCCACCGCTGCTCATACACTTGGCACAGATATCTGCAATTAACCCCACATCTTCTCCTTAACACTCCCTGCCTACTAATATCCAACCTTTTAACGTATTTAGACATAGATTAAGATTTTAGACATTGACATAGATTAAGGATATGCAGGGCCTTGGGATAAAACAACTCGCTGAAGCACAGTTCAAGCATCTGTCCTTTTTGATTTTAGGTAGAAGCTATTATTTATTCTAAGGGAAGCATCCCATTATCTATAGCCATGGTGGATGGGGGACCCTTGGGTAACCCGGGTGGCTGGAAACCTTTAACAATAAAACTGTCCCATTATTTCTATAAGGAGTTAAAAATAACCACCCATTGGGTCCATATGGATTTATTAACCCTGACTTGGTTCACCACTGCTGGGTCTGTCCTGGCTCCTAAAGGACAATTAGAGAGATTAGCTCCAGCAGGGCATGAGCAGATGGAGACAGCTTCATCCAGATCACATCCTGGACACATCCCCTTTGCAGTGCTGACACCATGTTCTCCAGGCCAGCAGCAACAAGTTCAGCCTGTGTCTGTGTTAGTGCATCGTATTAAGCAGCTTCATTAGCTTTGGAACAGCA